TCAGTTTATTCAAACATTGACTTGATATATTACTCCAAGCCTCCTGGAGGATTGCCCAAAGATGATTCACACTGGTTGGACACTTCTTACGGACATCACGGTCCAGTTCCTCCCATAGCAGCTCAATGGGGTTAAGGTCAGGTGATTGGGCAGGCCACTCCATGATAGACAAGACACCGGCTCGGATGCCTAGAGTATGAAGAGCTGTAATAGCTGCTAATGGGGATTTCTTTGATGAATCCAAAATTTGAGTATTTTTCTATGTTATGTTCATAAACTTTTTATTTAATAAAATATGTTTTCATAGTTTGTGTTGTCCCTTATTATCAATGCAAAATGGTCACTAACTAAAGAGGATTTATGCTGATATTGCCGCAAAACCCTATTTTGTTCAGGCGTTTCCAAACTTTTGGAGGGCAGTGTACATATTAGCATAAACTTAAGCACAGTTGTTATGCTTAGGGCTTATCCAGCTCGACGTAATTTGAATACTAACATAATCTTAAACAACACTGGCTGTGTTTTGTGCTTGTTTGCTTGGCCCTTTGGAGTCAATGACTTCCAGAGACCTGTAAGTCATAAACAACAGCAGACTCTTGGTATACTTCCTGGTGCTCTGTCAGGAATGTGCTGGAGTCAAAACAACGCACTTCTGTCACTGTTAGTTTATTAACTGTGCTTTTCAGTAGCACTAATTCATTGTTCAGTACCAAAGTAAAGAACCTGAAACTTCACATTTCACTGCCATAGTGTGTATGGAATGTAAAATGTAAACTGTGTGTGTGTGTGTGTGTGTGTGTGTGTGTGTGTGTGCGCGTACCTGGAGGCCAGGACCTGTGAAGAGCGGATATCAGCCACCACGTGCAGGAAGTAGTAGCTCATGAAGACCCGTCTCTGCAGCAGCAGGGAGGCAAAACAGATGCTGTCCCAGATGATACCTGCTTCATCACTGGGCAGTTCACACTGTTTATTAGCCTGCTGCTCCGCTAATTAACAAGAGACAGGAAGAATGATTTAATGCATTCATTATTTAACTACACGATTTACACAATAAGTACTGAAATCACACTTTTTGCGACTGTTACTGCAACAACTAATAGACTCAGAAAGCTTTTGCATGCTTTAGGTGATAACTTACGTCGTGAATAGCCCTTTATAGTGCATGCCAGACTGAACAGCTGGATGAGCCAGCAGTGATTAACCACCAAGGCTTTAATATATCCACAGGCAGCTATCTGAGAAGTGAGAAGAGATGGAGCAGTGTCATCAAACCCATAAATCTGGCCTTATTACGTTCCAGCCTTGTGGTGCAAGGAAATGTTGTTGAAAGCACAAAACACACACACACACACACACACACACACAAATACCCATACAACTTAACTGAACTGCCCTCTTCTGCACTTTTTCGTTGCTGCTTTATGACTGTTCATGAAATCATATTTACGATATTTAAGTGCACTTTGTACTGGACCATCTATATTTAAAAAAGATCCAATTTAGATTATAGTGGATGGTACTCAAGACTACAGCACCTCCTGCCCTGATATCTCTCTGTCTGGATGTGGTTTACTCACAGAGAGGATGTTCTTCATGGTGATGACAAACACGTTGTACGCGATGAGAAAATCCCAGTAACGCAGAATGGTTTTAATTGGCTTGAGTAACAGCTCTCCACCAAAGAGCAAGAAGTAGAAACAGGCTACCAGGTAACCCATGCAGAATATGCTGATGCGTGTGGTCCCCGTAATGAAGATGATGGTGAGGACGAACCAGAACAGATAGCTGAACATGATCACCTTCAGCATATCAAGGTATGATCTAAAAGAAACAGAAGGAGAGCAAAAGAGGCACAGAGGGAGGATGGTCTAGGTGTGACTGGGTTTGTGTGTAGGCTTCTGTAACATAAGGATGTAATCCAATTCAATTTTATTTAGTAATAGACATACAGATGTTTATCAAAGGGTGTCCCAAAAGTCTCCATACACAGGGGAAATGAACACTTTTTAGCGAAATTTTTCATACTTAGTTTTTTTCATACTCATTTTTTTTCCAGATATCTTTTAAGAATGCCTTTGACAAAAGAAGAATGTATTGAAATCATTCTCATGGCTGGATCGGGAAGCTGTCCCAAGGTTTTGCTGGGCTTTAGCAGGAAACATGGCAAGCATATCACACACGACACTTTTGCCAAACTTATACAAATTCAAAAAGACTGGATGTGTTGCGGATCAACCAATAAGTGGACGTCCATGAACATCCACTGACGAAGTCACAAACGACGTGGTCCTGGCAAACATAGTCCCCTATTTCTGGAGACTTTTGGGACACCCTGAAGATTCGTAACAAGCAAGCCAGCAGGAAAAACTTGCTGGGATGACATGAGGAAGAATCCAAGAGAGGAACCAGACTCAAAAGTGAACTCATCCTCTTTTGGAGACATCAGATAAAAAAAGTAATCATCCCTACACGACTATGATTTTTGTTTACTTATGGCTATGATTGTTAAGCATGCAACATATTATTTTTGTTATTCGCTTATTACTAGCTTGTTAATGGTCTGCCATGTAATGTTCAACCTCTCTGTCATTCTGTTTTTGACAATAATTAAAAACATTTAGCTCATATCTCTAATTATCGACTAGTGTATCAGTTATCTAGTGACTTAAATTATTGGAATGCTGTGTACATTTTTAATTCCTCTGATTGACAAAGCACACTCTTCTGTTTAATACATTTATCAAACCAACACTTTCAAAGAATCATAGAATAAAATAACCCCAAAGCCCTTTTTCAGAAAACCATCAATAACATTGCCCTCATAATCATCACACCTTCTTGCTCATTTGTTTAAACTGGCTGTAGGCAGCACAAAAAGTGCACACACGGCACATTTGCCTTACACTGTTGAATGAGCTTGTGCAGAATCCAAGTAGAAATAGCTGCCACACGACTGTGGATTTCTACTTATATGAGTGATGAGTTGTGAGTAAGGTTCATGTTGCAGACCTTATTGGGTTACAGGACATGGTGAATATTGTCAAAGACTGGTGAAGTCATTAAGGGTTGTACAAAGTGACTAACATCCTGGAGTTATCTGATATGAAGCGGGAGAGAGCACCGCGCTACTGAGGACCTTTTTTCTTCTCCATGAAAAAAACGTCTCACTTTGAACGTCAAAACAACGCTGATGTGATGAATGGGATTGCTGAAAAGTGTGATTTTATCTCATTTTGCTCTTGGAGTCTATATAGTATAGAACAATCCAACATTTTTTTAGCTCATGTATGAGAAACCACAATCTAAGAGTATGTCTTAAGGCACAGATCCAGAAATATACGTGGGAAAATTTGAACTTACACAAAAAGGAGGATATGCCAAGAGGAGTCAAAATTTTTGTCTTAGTGCTGTTGGACCTGACTGTGGTATTTGACAATATTGACCACACAGTTGCTTGAAAAACAGTTGGACAGTCAAGTTATTGCCTAGTTTAGATTATAAAGGTCAGGCTATTACCAGTTTGTTTGCATAAATGGTGATTTTTCAGAGCCTGGTGTCCCACAAGGTTCTGTTTTAGGTCAACTACTATTCTCTATTTACATCCACCCCCTTGAACATGTAATAATGCTGGCTTCCGCTTCTACTCTGATAATGAATAGAAACTTCCTTCTTCTAAATTCTGACAAGACAGTAATTAGGTTGTAGGTCTGCCGTCAGTAAGTATGTTAAGTACAGCTTTTCTGTAAAACCAAAAGCTACAATTAAGGCCCTTGGTGTAACTCTAGATGCTGCTTTGCCATTTTTCCCATGTAAGTAACATGTCTAAAATTGCTTGTGATCATCTCAGATACATCGCCGAAATAACAAATGTCACATGATGCTAAGAAACTGGCGCATGCTTTCAGAACATCTAAACTGAACTGCTGTAACATGTTGCTGGTTGGCTGCCCTGCTGCCACTTTAAGGAAGCATCAGAAAACATTACTCTATTACTCTGTGAATGGTTTAGCTCTGGGTGTATCTTTCTGTTCTCCTGATATGGTATAGCCCGTCTGAGGTAGACCTAATGTTTATTCCCATGGATCAGGCACAGTTCAGCTGGTAAAAGATGTTTTTTTTTGAGGGAATATTAGGAACATTAGCTGAGTAACTGTTTTTAAATACAGATTAAAAAAATATAAAATAAATGAAGCAGGCTTTTTGTGACTTGTAATAATTCTCATAGTTTTTTAGCTGATTGATTAGTGATTCACAGTGGTTCTTTCACATGCTTTATCATACATGTTTTGACCATCTAATCAATTGTATGTAAAGTACTTTGAGATGAAATGTGCTTAATAATATAACAACAACTCTTTGTGTCTTCTTCTTCTTCTTATTATTATTATTATTATATTAAGTAATTGTGTGGCCACCTACTTTATCCTACTACAGCATCTTTATTAATTAGAAGCATAAACTGGATCTGGGTCTCTACTAGAGACAACACAGTAAGAAGTGCTTCACAAAAACCGTGACGATAAGGAGCTTGTTCTCTCAGAGTAACTGACTAGTCTGT